CTAGAATTCACAACGATTCACGCACTTTACTTACTGCTTGACTTGATTATCTGTCTCTATATCTCTCTGTCTGCAATTCAATTCCGAATGAATGTCTCCTTTATCTGGCGCGCTTATATACAATAAAAGCGCGCGCGTAGCACGTACTAGACTCTTCGTGAATCTTCTAGACACTAATCACATGTTACCAGCATCACATGACTTCCGCTGTTTTAACAATACTATGTACGTAAACATCTTACTTTATAAAATACTGGATTCTCTCGTTTAAATTAGCTTTCGTACAATTTTTCTACATTATGTTCATATTACTATTTCTTCATTTCAGTTTGAGTCTATATTTTGCATGTAAATCTTTTAGTTCATTTGTGTAATAATATGTGAAAACAAACACTGAATTTATCACGAGATAATTTCAAACATGATCGTACTAAAGACATTACATAAATAAACGAATAAAGGTACAAATGTGCTTTACAGTCAATGCAAACTTTCTATGTAAGATTTTAGTTTGTAGGCTCAGAAAACTAGCTTATTGACTATTTAACATTTGAAAACAAATAATTTCCTCACATAGATTTTAAAACATTGGTAACATTTGATGCATTATCTTTTACTTGTACTTCAATCGTCAGTTACAGATCAGTTTTCGGTGATTTTCTTATTTAAATCTCATGTTTTATCATAGCCCAATATATTTTAAACATATATTAATATATATATATTAGATTAAACTGTGTCATACATACACCAATCTGTCAAACGTTCAGACAGTGCCATTCAACAAGTATTTGGAAAATATAATTTATACTCACCTTATTCTTAATTCTACTCTGTTCAGACTAAAGAAACAACAAAAAGTATGAGACTCACACTTATAAGAGAGAAAATAGTTTTACCTGGGGCTTTCTCAGTACAAGTAGTACATAATATTTCAACTGTATTGAATCTTATTGTTTATCAGTAGGAAACGATCAGTAGTGTATGAAGCTCATAAACAACTTAAATATCATAACAAATATTAACTTGGTGTACCCAGTATTCTTAAGATTAAAACATTTAGTGAAGCACAAAGTTTACTAAGCATTTTCTTAATATTGTTACGCCTCCAGTCGTTAGTTGATTTTCCGTAACTTCGTTCCGACGAAACTTTAGCGACTCAAGTCCTTTCTTAATAAAACTGGTTTATTCTTTCCGAATACAACTTTACGATACACTTAATTTCAACAGTCGCGCTATAACAAACGCTATATCTCAAGTGGCCAACAATATTTTGTCCGCATACATTCAATAACTCATTACACTGTTGTCCCGTCACGCTGTGATCATCTTATATATATACCAGCTACCCCCAATCTAGTAAATGCTAGAGCATTCACGAAG